AAACGCTGCTCCGTGTAGGCTCATGTTAGATCTTTTTTCTCTCCAATCTCCCCACGGTTTCAGCGACTACATTTTAAAGATTCCAAATAAGAGCATATAGCCTGAGACATTGTGTTTCCTTCAAGAGAACATTAGGAAAACATATTTGAAATAGAAACCAAAAAAAGTACTCCTGATGCCTAGAAGAGACAAAATTAGAATAGGGCTAGCTCTATATGGGCTTGTTGATTGATTAATTGAAGGTTTATCACACATACAGAGAGTAATGAGCAAAGTTAGAGTAAATCCTTATCAGTGGAATTCAACAGGGTGGTCTTTCTGACAGGTCTTTTTGTTGCAGACTTAATGTAGGCTTCCTGAACCTTGTGGTTTGTTAATCTGCAAGTACTTGTTTAGATATCAAGCGGTGGAATCTAAGATACAAGCTGTTAATTATGAGTTCTAATCCCAGGCTAGAAGATGCCTATAAAGATCAAAACCTGTTTCCTTTTTTCTAATAATTAGCAGCCTAGCTAAAGAGAGATCAATTGTAATTGGGGAACTGAAGAAGGTAATAAATCCATTACCGAGACTAGTTGTTTTACAGAGCCATTTGTTTAATCCTTAAAATTTGCAGGTTGTAAATTACTCATTAGAAGGCAGAAAGCAAAATAGCCATAATCCATTTAGTGCCTCCAAACTCCAAAGACTTAGGGGAGGAAATCCATAGAAACAAGACGTCTGATGTGTTCTTTCACTGCGATTTCTTAATGGGCAAAGGTGGTTAAACAATAAGGAAAAGCCCATGTAATTATCCTGATGTGCTGCAACATAGGTCAGGGGTGGACTTGATTAAATCCATGGAGGGCTATCCCACAAATGGTGGGAAAATGCTCCTTCTTTTCCACTCAGCCCTGAAGGCAGCTAATCAATGTGCACATCTCATTTCCAGATTTTTTCATGAGATCAGAGAAATAGCCTATAGCATTCATTAGGGTATTCCCTCATATCTGTTGTTTTCTAATCAGCACAGGGAATAAAACAAGAGTTAGGAGACAGCCAGGAGGAAGCTGTCCTCCTCTCCATACATAGGGAATTCTGCTCCCAACTACAAAATGTTTAACTGCAAAAACAACTAGACAGTTAGTTTATAGGTCTCTTTACATGCATAGAAAGCCACATATATTTGATTTGCATATGGATTTTACAAGCTTTATATGAAAACTCTTAACCATTTACTAAGAACAATGTTTTTTTTTCTTTTTGCATACCACGGGTACAATTCAATTTTAGACTCCTAGTGGTAATGATACAGGCAATATACAAGATGCCTATGATACTAGCACTGTGCATGAATTTTGAGAGTAGAATTTGAATCCGTGCATATTTTCTTTTTTAAACAATGTGATGCCTATTATATATACAAAACACAACTTCTGTTAATAGCTCACTGCTGGGCTATACACAACAAAATACCTATGGCTCACTTCTGCACTGAGTAAGCATTTCTTTCATACCTCTTTCCTTTTCTCCACATGATCAATAGCACATCTCCAAAATAAGATGATAGGGTTAGGTTGTGAAATGAAGTTTTTCTCTTTGCAGGGATAACAAGATCACGTGAAGATCAAATCTCTGATTTTGTGGTAGCAAAGTGAGTTAGCAAATGTAAACTGTTTCCTATCATTTTCTACTTGACAATCTAATTAAGTTTGTGATTTCACCAGGTTAGCACTATGTCTATCTCTGTGTTCCATTCAATACCCACTAAGCTGTTGTTAATCAATAAATCATTACTGATAATGAAGGAAAATCCAATTTAAAAATTACAGCTGTTCTGGAAATGCATTTATTTACTTTGTTAAAGTAATTATAAAGCAAGTGTTTTTTAGATTGATCATTTAACCATGTCATGTAATAAAAGTACTTTCTCCCCACATCTAACTTAAAAAAAAGCTACATATATTTTACATTAGAAAGCTATACTAAGGAATCTTAAAGACCCTTGTCATTAAAAATACAATCAAAGCATGTTAGAAAAATGTTAAAAGTCCTAGCCAGAATAATCAGGCAAGAGAAAGAAATAAAAGGCATCCAAACAGAAAGAGAAGAAATTAAACTATCTCTCTTCCCAGATGAAATGATTCTATACCTAGAAAACCCATAGTCTCTGCCCAAAGGCTTCTAAATCTAATAAACAACTTCAGCAAAGTTTCAGGATACAAAATCAATGCTAAAAAACTTAATAGCATTTCTATACACCAACAACATCCAACTAAGAGCTAAATCAATAGCACAATCCCATTCACAACAGCCCTAAAAAATAAAATACCTAGGAATACAGCTAACCAGGAAGGTGAAAGATCTCTACAACAAAAATTACAAAACACTGATGAAAGAAACCAGAGATGACAAAAACAAATGGAAAAACTTTCCATGTTCTTGGATAGGAAGAATCAATATTTTTAACATGGCCATACTGCCCAAAGTAATGTACAGAACCAATACTGTTCATATCAAAATACCAACAACATTTTTCACAGAATTAGAATAAACTATTCTAAAATTCATGTGGAACCAAAAAAGCCCCAATAGCCAAAGCAATCCCAAGCAAAAACAACAAAGATGGAGGCATCACATTACCTGACTTTAAACTACACTACAAGCCTACAGTAACCAAAACAGCATGGTACTGGTACAAAAATGGACATATAGATGAATAGGACAGATGAGACAACCCAGAAACAAAATCGCACACCCACAACCACCTGATTTTTGACAAAGTCAACAATAATAAACAATGGGGAAAGGACTACCTATTCAATAAACGGTGCTGGGATAACTGGCTAGCCATAAGCAGAAGATTGAAATTGGATCCTTTCCTTTCATCATATGCAAAAATCAACTCAAGATGGATTAAATACTTAAATGCAAAACCTAAAGCTACAAAAACCCTAGAAAAAAATCTAGAAAATACCATTCTGGACATGGGCCCTGGCAAATATTTCATGATAAAGACTCCATAAGCAATTTCAACAAAAATAAAAATTGACACATGGAACTTCATTTAAGTGAAGAGCTTCTGCACAGCAAAAGAAACTATCAATCGTGTAAACAGACAACCTACAGAAATGGAGAAAATATTTGCAAACTATGCATCTGATGAAGGTCTAATATCCAGCTTCTATAAGGAACTTAATAAGCAAAAATCAAACAACCCCATTCAAAATTGGACAAAGGACATGAACAGACACTTCTCAAAAGAAGATATACATGTGCCCAACAAGCATATGAAAAAATACTCCACATCACTAATCATTAGAGTAATTCAAATCAAAACCACAATGAATACCATCTTACACCAGTCAGAATGGTTATTATTAAAAAGTCAAGAAGGGGCTAGGCACAGTGGCTCATGCCTGTAATCCCAGCACTTTGGGAGGCCGAGGCAAGTAGATCACTTGAGGCCAGGAGTTTGAGGCCAGCCTGGCCAACATAGTGAAGCCTGTCTTTACCAAAAATATAAAATTTAACCAGGCATGGTGGTGCATGCCTGTAATCCCATCTACTTGGGAGGCTGAGGCACTAATAACTTGAACCTAGCAGGCAGAGGTTGCAGTGAGCCAAGATCATGATCACGCCATTGCACTCCAGCCTAGGCAACACAGCAGACTCTGTCTCAAAAAAAAAAAAAAAAAAAAAAAAAAAAGTCAAAACATAACAGATGCTGGCGAGGTTCAGGAGAAAAGGGAATGCTTATACACTGCTGGAGGGAATGTAAATTAGTTCAGCCACTATAAAAAGCAGTTTGGAGGCCGGGCGCGGTGGCTCACGCCTGTAATCCCAGCACTTTGGGAGGCCGAGGCGGGCGGATCACAAGGTCAGGAGATCGAGACCACGGTGAAACCCCGTCTCTACTAAAAATACAAAAAAATTAGCCGGGCGCGGTTGTGGGCGCCTGTAGTCCCAGCTACTCGGGAGGCTGAGGCAGGAGAATGGCGTGAACCCGGGAGGCAGAGCTTGCAGTGAGCCGAGATCACGCCACTGCACTCCAGCCTGGGCGACAGAGCCAGACTCCATCTCAAAAAAAAAAAAAAAAAAAAAGCAGTTTGGAGACTTCTCAAAGAATTTAAAACTATCATTCAACTCAGCAATCCCATTACTGGGTATATACCCAAAGGAATATAAATCATTCAACTCAGCAATCCCTTTACTGGGTATATAATCAAAGGAGTATAAATTGTCCTACAATAAAGACATAGACACGTGTATGTTCATTGCAGCACTATTCACAGTAGCAAAGACATGGAGTTAATTTATATGTCCATCAACAGTGGATTGGATAATGGAAATGTGGAACATATATACCATAGAATACTATGTAGTCGTAAAAAAGAATGAAATCATGTCCTTTACAGCAACATGGATGCAGCTGGAGGCCATTATTCTAAGCAAATTAATGTAGAAACAGAAAACCAAATGTTACATGTTCACTCATAAGTGGGAGCTAAACATTGAGTACACACAGACTCAAAGAAGTGAAAAATTCACACTGGGGCCTACTTGAGAGTGGAGGGTGGGAGGAATCTGAGGATCTAAAAACTACCTATTGAGTACTCCATTCATTACCTAGGAGATGAAATAATCTGTACACCAACCCTAACAGCATGGAATTTACCCTTGTAATAAACCTGCATATGTACCCCCCCGTGAACCTAAAATAAAAGTTGGGAGGAAAAAAGAATTAAGTGAGAAACAGAATAAAAAAAGAGTAGTTGCTCTTTCTCAAAAAAAAAAAAAAAAGAAGAAGAAGAAAAAAGAAACAGAAAAGGAAAACTGTTGAGACATTGTAAGATAAACTTTAAAAAGCTTACAGTAAATTTGAAAATTATAACTTGGTGCTTCTATGTTACTGGTCTCAGAAAAGAGCCCATTCTGGTCACTTTTGGTGGAAGCTAGAAATGATATTTGGCCTTTCCCCTTTGCTGGGAATAAAGTACCTGACTTCTCTTCTGACTTACCCTGAGTGGATTTTCATTAAGGTAAGGGGGTTCACCTTCCACCATTTCAATTGCCATAATTCCCAGAGACCAGATATCAACTTTCGGACCATAAGCTTTTCGAGTCACCACCTCAGGTGCCATCCAATATGGGGTTCCCACCATAGTGCTTCGTTTACTTTGCTCAGGAGTGATCTGGGCACAGAACCCAAAGTCAGCTGCAGAGAAGAAAAGCCAGTTAAAATAAGCCCAAATTATTTTCCTTTTCACAATATATCACTTTCAGATATGGCCGTATCTTCCTTTGTTACACACTGAGTTTCCACAACTGCCTAGCTCATACCTTTTTGTTAACTGATGTCTCAGCTGGTCCTGATTTTAAGAAGGTCTGAAATAATTGACTAATGTGATGTCATTTTTACTAGACTTCAATCTAATTCCTCCTCATCACTGTTTTCTCAAACTTACAGAATTTTTCAGTTTCCTACTTAGGTAGTTGTCATTTATTCATTCCACAAGTCACTAGAAATTCTGAAATATTAAATCCAAAAAATGTGGTCACAATAATCAGGAATAGTGTTAGAAAAATTCTTTACTTCAAATTGGGCTGTAACTTCTTTCAAATAAATCACTTTCAGTAACCATTATCTTCTTAAGATATACAATAAAAGAAAAGAAATTCCCTGATACTCTAACACCACCTGAACCAAAATACCTACTCAATTTAACAGAGCCATCCATCCCGAGAAGAATATTGTCACTCTTTATATCTCTATGGATCACCTGGTTTGAGTGCAAGAAATCCAAAGCTTGCAGGCACTATTAAATCAGAAAAAAAAGTTCTAATTATATCACAAATAATTTTTTAATACTAAGTTTTATTTCTAGATAAGTTTTGGGCAGGGATATAACTTTATTTTGTCAAGTGAAATCAATTACTGAATGCTTCAATAACACCACTTTAAAGTTACATTACCATTTACATCAATGATGCCACTTAGCATTATACATGCTAAGTATGATGGCTGACACATCAGACTAGGACATGAAGAATGATAATGTGATAAATAGCACCAATCCTTAAAACAGTCAAACTAACCAATTAATATACTTTGGCCCAGTTATTTGGAGGATTCAGCTTGGTCTTCTACAGCTGTGGTAAGCTTCATTGTACATGGTATGATTTGATTCAGAAGTTCTGGAGTGAAACCCAGGAATCTACATTTAAAACAAGTGCCCCAAACTATTTCTAACGGGTAGCCAGGTTTGGGAACCACTCCGAGGCTATGAAGTAATAGGCACTTGTTTGGAAATGCCTTTGCAGTGTGGTGCTGGAAGAAGGAAACCACAGGCTCAGGGTAGTAAGTTTGATTTATGGCATGAATAGAAAACATATATGTTTGGTGGATATGTGGGGTGGGAAAATGATAATGAGAGGAGAGCAAGGAAGGAAGAAATTTAAGTGAACAACTTACAAAAACAAAACAAAACAAAACAAAACAAAAAAACAGATTAGCTGATATCACTTAGTTTTGTTTTTCTATCATTGGTTTTCAAGTTTCAGTGAGTCAGAGTTCCTACTTTTGTTGATAGAAAACCTCACCAAAATAAATGGGATAGCTTATAATGCCTAAGATGAGACTCCAGTAAAAAGTGTGTGTGTGTTTTAATAGTCAACATAATAAATGTAATAATATATCTTTAATTTAGTTTGAAACCCCTTAGGGGTATGACACTTACTGGAAAAGAGACAGACTGTCAGGCCCCCTGTGGGGCGGTAAGGGAAGTTCAGATTGTACTGTGAAAGCAACTGCTTTCTGGGCTGAGGGAAGACCTCGTTTAAATTGCCTTATAAAAATGATGAAAATATAACTTATTTTACATGGCTCATATTACACATGCAGGATAAAACAAGTATCATGTAAAAACTTCCCCAAATTAGAAAGAAGTGTTATGCCAATATCACTGTTTCCCATGTTCACCGAAACTACAGCATGTGGGTTTAGATATGGCACCTCACGAATGACATAATGGAACTAAAAGATTCACAAAAGGCAGCTAAAATAAACAAGGGGCTCAGGAGGGTGATGCTGGGGAGTGCTATTAGGACAGAATTCAAATTGAAGTTGGCCTCTCCAATTGTTTTCAGTGGAAAAGTTCTACTATTGTTACTTTAATGACATAAACATTCTGAATAATCAGAAACGAAGAACTGCCAATTTTGGTGTTCTTCTCAGCTGGAAATGCTCTATTTGCTTACCTCTCTGCAGACAGCTGCTATCTGTCCTTCATCCATGCAGGTCTCTGTGACCACATCAGTCAGAGAGCCACCAGCCAAGTATTCCATGACTACCCATAGTTCATCACCCACCAAGTAGCTATAACAAGAAAAGAAAAGACTTTGCCTTATGACGCTAAAAAATTGGAGACTCTGATATTCCCAGGCCTCAGTTCTGATAGAAGTCAACTCTGAGTTGTGCCACGCCCGTTACCTTTCAGAAGGTATTGAGGGGCATACCCCAAGTGATCAAATATGGAGCCAAGGGTCACCAGAGCCCTATAATTCAGGCAAAGAGAGCATGAGGTTATTCAAATCACCTGACACCATCTGAAGGCACTTCAGCAGTATAATCAGGTCTCTCTGAAACCTTGCTTATCAAGAAAGATAAATTATAGGAAATGGAGTGACCCCAATGTTCCCACTCTGCCCTAAGACCCATATCAATGTGAAGCAAGATTTTATATTCAGTATTGTTCAAACTATGGTGTCCATAAAATTCACCTGGAAAACCTGTTAAAAATAAAACTTCACAGTCCAGTCCTCATCTTATTATTTATGGAAAGCAGCCTAGAATTCTGCATTTTTTATAAGTGTAGATGCATTTTTTATTTTTTTATTTTTTATTTTTTGCAAAATTACAAACACAGAATGACTTTAGGTTACTCTGTTGCAGGTGGTTCCTAAGTTACACTTTAGAAGACACTGATCAAGACTGTAAAATTTGTGGCCAGGTGGAGTGGCTCACGCCTGTAATCCCAGCACTCTGGGAGACCAAGGTGGGTGGGTCACCTGAGGCCAGGAGTTTGAGCAGCCTGGCCAACATGGCAAAACCCCATCTCTACTAAAATACAAAAAATTAGCTGGGTGTGGTGGTGCACACCTGTAATCCCAGTTACCTGGGAGGCTGAGGCAGGAGAATTGCTTGAACCTAGGAGGCAGAGGTTGCAGTGAGCTGAGATTGTGCCACTGCACTCCAGCCAGGGCAACAGAGCAAGACTCTGTTTAAAAAAAAAAAAAAAAAAAGACTGTAAAATTTGACCCTCTTTTCTCCCAGTTTTTCCTTCTTCTGTAACATTGGTCTACCTGGCCCAAAAAGCAGAAAACAGCATTTTAAGCTTATTGAGGTATTGAGGTTGAAGACCTAGATTTAGTTTCTTTGTATCACCTTCAGAGAACACAGCACAGTGGTACTAAACAAACTCTTTTTGAAATTGAATGAGAGAGATGTTAACCAGAAGTGAAGAGTTAGTGCTGCCTTTAAATACCTATTTATAACACACTGTTAATACCACTGATGAAAGAGACATTAATTACCTGGTTTAGGAAAAAGGTTTGAGATTAAAGTCTGAATTCCCTAGACCTCACTGTCAGTTAATCACAAAGCACCCATTAAAGCCATTATAGCGGGCCATGGTAGTCAGCCTTCTTCACTTAGACTCCCAGAAATTGTACTGGCTCCAAACAAACACTTGATGTAATGTTTAAAACACCACTACTCCTTCCTATATGCAATGGTCTATTTTCTGCCAAAATGGAGCTGTGATTCTCAAAACGAAATTATACAAACTTCTTTTATTTACAACCAAGACCATAAAATGTTTCTTCAAGTGTCTGATATGTGGACAAAGCTAAATGAGTGCAAGTTTAGCAATAGATCTAATACTCTACTACATTGTAGCATTTGAGAAATATTTGCAGAATGACTGTTAAATAAACGAATCCCAAATAAAGTAATTTGCCAAGAAAAAATGACATCCCACAAAGAATACAAGTACATAACGAGACAAAACACTTACCTATCTAAATAATTAACAATATTAGGGTTCTTATTTTCCCTCATGACCAGAATTTCATTAATAATTAATTCCTTCTTGGGTTGCTGTTGTAGGTTCATCTGCTTTATGGCCACCTGAATGGCAATTAAAATACAAGAATGAATTACACTCATTATAATAAACATGAATATTCATATTTTGGGGGACACAGAGTGAAACATACACATTCTTTATTTACTAAGCTCTTTCCCTGTGCCACAAACTCATGCCCCCCACTTTTATTTTTGGTTAATCATGGGTAAACCACTCACTTCAGAGGCTTTGGGCACCAATGAAGGAAACACCTATCTCAACCCAGTGCTACCCATTTTTTTTTAGGCAAAGTTGCTATCAAAGAAGATAAGTGATAAATATGAATAAAAGAAAATAAAAATCAGCATTGAACGTTAGCACTTACCTCTTGTCCTGTTGCAATGTCTAGTGCTGTATAAACAGTACCTGATGCCCTGTGAAGGTGAAAATTATCAAAAGAATAAGCAATCAAGCTGTTACCAATATATTTTACTTGAAATAAAATATAATTATTTTGAGGGGAGGAAAATTAGCAAACTCAAAATTAAAGTATGAAGAAAAGGAACAACCTTTTAAAAAATATTATTGTGATTAAAAAAACACTTCACAGGAGATCTACCCTCTTAACAAATTTTTAAGTGCACAATATTGGAACAATCTTTTTATACAGCAAACACACCTGAAACAATCACAATGTATCCCTTGTGGTGGAGTATAGGAACTCCAGTCAGACTTTCTGGCACCAGTCTGAGTGTCATGCACTATGCAGTAATAAATTGAGCAAAATGGCCTTGCTTCTTTTAGGAAACTCCTGGAATCCCCTAAATATTTCTTGAATCTTGTAATAACCAATATTGCAGGCCTCTGATTAAACTGAAGAATGGTTTAGGAAAGAAAATATCATCTTTTGCTTAGGCAAGTATAAATTAACCTTCACTTTTACTATAGAAACAGAGTGGCTCTTTTAATATATTTCCAATTTTTAAGACTATCTTCATCTAAAGAATCAATCTCTCTCAGTGCTGTACTGTACTATGGCTACATGAAGCAATAGCAACATGACTTTACTATTGAGCCATTGTTTTCTTTTCTCAACAACTTCTATGAAGTGTCACTCCAGCCCAATATTCTTTTAAAATCTATCATTTCTGGGCCTGGTGCAGTGGCTTACACCTGTAACCCCAAAACTTTGGGAGGCTGAGGCAGCAGGATTGCTTGAGCCCAGCAGTTTGAGGCCAGCCTGGGCACCATGTTGAGATCCAGTTTCTTTTTTTTTTTTTTTTTGAGACGGAGTCTCGCTCTGTCGCCCAGGCTGGAGTGCAGTGGCGCGATCTCGGCTCACTGCAAGCTCCGCCTCCCGGGTTCACGCCATTCTCCTGCCTCAGCCTCCCGAGTAGCTGGGACTACAGGCGCCCACAACCGCGCCCGGCTAATTTTTTTTGTATTTTTAGTAGAGACGGGGTTTCACCGTGGTCTCGATCTCCTGACCTTGTGATCCGCCCGCCTCGGCCTCCCAAAGTGCTGGGATTACAGGCGTGAGCCACCGCGCCCGGCTGAGATCCAGTTTCTATGAAAAAATTTAAAAATTAGCCAGGTGTGGTGGCACATGCCTGTAGTCCCTGCTTTTCAGGAGGCTGAGATGGGAGGATCACTTGAGCCCAGGAGTTCAAGGTTGCAGTGAACTGTGATTGTGCCACTGCACTCCAGCCTGGGTGTCTTAAAAAAATTAATAAGGAGCCAGTTCATGTCGCAAAAAATTAATAATGTATCATTCTTTATATCTTAGCAGTACTCTTGGTTCCATTCCAACTTCGATTATGGTGTTCCCTTGTTTTGCAAATAGAAATTGTATAGTAAGCTGCATTCACAGTAACTTTCTATGAATCACAAATGCATTCTAAACCACCTTCCACCACCACCCTCAAGAAAAATAAATAAAAAGTCAATTTCGCTTTTAGTGAATAAAGGAGTTAGAATAGAGATCAGTCCTGTGATTGACTACGCATTGTAATGTTCCAACATTGCTCTGTAAACTTTCTGTAATTATTTCTCTCTTATTCTCTATTTCATCCTTGCTGTTTCGTTTTCTGAGTCCAGGAATTATTTTCTTATGTCAGGCACTTCCTTGTCATTCTTTTCCCTTCTCCTTGGATTAGCCCAAATATTTCTCACAGGTCCAGGAAGTGGACCTGGGTCTCAGGGAGTAAACTCGGTATGTAGTATAAGGCATATCTGACTATTAGTAGAGATCTGAGTTCTAATATTTGTCCTAACATCATCAAGCTATGTGACTTTGGGCTAGTCACTTCCTTTCACTGAGTTTCCGTCCCGTCACATGGAAAACAGGTATCACAATAACAGTAAACATGTACTGAGTATGTTGTATATGTCAGACACTACACTAAGAACTTTAGATAATTTATCTTATGTAATCCTTACCATATTTTTATAAGGCAGATGCTATTATTCCCGTGTTACATATGATGAACTGAGGCTCAAAGAGGTTACCTGCCCAAGGTTACACAGTTAACAACCCATGTCTGTCTGACTCTCACTTTTAAAGTACAGGAAATGAGCTACTTTTTTTCTAACGGTCTTTAATTCTATGATTTATAATCTACAACTCTACCACTCTCCTCACTCTGCTTGGGTTTCTAAACATCGATTGGAACTAGGCTGAAAAATCACACTTAATCAATAGGTGCCACCTAAACCAGGATTTGGTAATTCTAGAAATTTCTTAGGCTTGAGGCTTGTATCAAACAAATCATTTCCTCACTTTTGTAAATGTGAGATTCTAGGCTCAGAGCTCACAGTTAGTGCCCAATAAATATTTGTTGAATAAACAAATCAATAAAAATCTTGTAAAGCAAACATGCAAGGCCAATACGACCTTTCCTTTCTGTGAAGAAAACATTTCTTCTACTTAAATCTAAATAAAGCACTTTGCTCCTGGAATAAGCAAACAGACATTCCTGACTTCAGAGCCCGGCGTGTGATTTGTCCTTCTGAACTTATTTGAGTTCAAAGGAATAGATCACCTCGACTTGGTGTATATTTCAGCTGCAATAAGTCCTGAGAAACTAGTTAAATCTAATTGCAAAATATGATTTAAAAATGCCTTTTGACATACAGCTAGCAAACACATGAAAAAATTCTCCACATCAATAATCATCACAGAAATGCAAATCAAAACCACAAAGAGACACCATCTCTCACCAGTCAGAATGGCAATTATTAAAGAGTCAATAAACAACAGACGTTGGCAAGGCTGCCAAGAAAAGAAAACACTTATACACTGCTGGAGGGAATGTAAATTAGGTCATCCGCTGTGGAAAGCAGTTTGGAGAGTTCTCAAAGAACTTAAAATGGAACTACCATTTGACCCAACAATCTTATTACTGGGTATATAACCAAAAGAAAATCACTTTATCAAAAAGATTCATGCACTTGCATGTTCATTGCAGCACTATTCGCGATAGCAAAGACATGGAATAAACCTATGGGCCCATCAATGGTGGATTGGATAAAGAAAAATGTGGTACATGTACACCATGGAATATTATGCAACCATAAAAAGACTAAGATCATGTCCTTTGCAGTAACATAGATGGAGCTGGAGGCCATTATTCTAAGTGAACTAATGCAGGAATAGAAAACCAAATACAACATGTTCTCACTTGTAAGCTGGAGCTAAACACTGGGTACTCATGAACATAAAGCTGGCAACAATAGACACTGGGGACTACTAGAGTGAGGAGGGAGGGAGGAGGGTAAGAGTTGAAAAACTAACTGTTGGGTACTATGCTCACTTCTGGGTGATGGGATAATTTGTACCTCAAACCTCAGCATTATGCAATATACCTAGGTAACATACCTATACATGTACTCCCTAAATCTAAAATAGAATTTAAAAATAAATAAATAAAAGTGACTGTTTGGTTTATTCACATGTATTTAGGCCACATGCACAATTACTTTAGATGCAAAAGAGTGAGAGTATCTGCAAAATGGGATAATAGTTCCTATTTCACAGGGCTGTAGAGAATTGCATGGCACAATCTATGTAAGCATTTAGCCCTGTGCCAGATCAGAGTTGATGCCTATATGGTAACTGCTATTATCATCATTTGTTGTTGCCACTGTTGCTATTGGTTTCACAGTAGGGGATGACTGATACACTGAACTATTAGTTGGCCCATCCCAACCTCCCAGCCAAAGCATCCTTGCTAACATCTGCCCCTATTTCCAAAAAGGACGGAGGCTGAGGTAAACTATTGGAACACGTTTTACAGGTTCCACATCCTTTCTTTCCCCCTAGGGAAGTGGTTTTACCCTTTTCTTTGGAAGTTGGAACGCCTTTATCAAATGAAACTGTATGAAAAAACTCTCAATATATTAAACAAATAAATTGGGAGTTGCCCCAGTTAAAGCTAGGGAGGGAGGCCCAAAATGCGTGCCCAGGTGGCCTTTCTGTTATTCAACACTCCTGTCTCCCTAACCCCCAAGCCCATTTCCACTGTCTTAAGGGCTAAAATTGTGATTGACTTGGAGTGCAAGTGGGGATTCATGTTTAACATTTTGAGAGCTTTACCTTTCAGATTCTTGGGTTTATTTTTTGTTGTTGTTGTTGTTGTTGTCCTCCTCCAGCACCCTCAGCATTTCATTGTATTAAAATTGCTAGAATTCTAACCCTGGAATCTCATTATCCTGGGATTTATGGCATCCAGGGGTATAAAATTGCTATAAATTACTAATCCACAGAGGTTAAAGATCCTAAAACTCTAGAGCACCAGCTGCTAACTAAAAATGAATCTTTCTCCTCACCTCCCCTCCCCACTTACCGCACATGTGCAATTATGTAATGTGTGTATGTGTGTGTGTGTGTGTGTGTATGTATATATATATATATATATATGCATTTCCCTACCCTGTACCCTGGTTCTCTTGTCATAAAATGGTAATATACTCTCCTACCACACTTACCAACCCCCTAAACCAAATATGTTGTTAGGTGGTTGGAACTCCCTGCTCTGACAAATAAGTTACTGGTTTGTGCAACTTCTAGCCTTTGCACAACCTTCAACTCGAAGGCACAAATTCGGATACTAACCTGCAAATTAAAATTTAGCACCTTTTCCCCAGCTCTGTCTTAGCACCCCCAACATATTTCCGCACCCCAGTTCTGATGGTTTTCCGTATTCTAACAATTTAAAATTCTACGGGTATAAATATGAATCTCTCCTTCAAGAGATCTCAACTTCCTTCAAGATTCATCTGTTAAAGCTCTCTTATTGCTCACTGCTGGGTTGAGAACAGTAGTCCTCACTCCCATTCATTCAAACCTCCCCTGGTTCAAGTCCTACTAGTTCCTAGTTCTCAGACTCTGGGTAAGTAATTTAGTTTCTTTGTCATTTAGGATTAAAGGAGGACT